CTGTGATAGGCTGAATTACAGGACCAAACGGGAAAAACATGTTTGTGTGACCTGAAGCCTTATGTATCTATTAAAACACTTTGAACTTTTTCACATTTTGTCACAGTACATCTGCAGACTTTAATGTGTTTCATGGGATCTTATATAATAAATCCAAACAAAGCAGCACCATAACATAAAACAATAAAATAAAAATCCTACTGCAGAACACACCAGCAGTAAGGTTGAAATGCAAAAAGAAGAACTTGGACGATTTTTGGCTTGAGTTTGGGTTACTTTCCAAGATGAGTCTCAACTCTCCCAGCTGAAGAGGGAGAAACTGTGAATATAAATTTTCTCTCATATATTTTCAAGTGGATTTAAGCCTGGACATTGACCATTGACTGGCCATTGTAACACATCTATATCTAGATCATTGCATTGCAGCTATGCGTATGGCTGTTCTGCTGAAAGGTGAACCTTCAACCCAGTCTCAAGTCTTTTACATTATCTTCCCATCGACTTTGAGCAGCTACCCAGTCTATATTGAAGAAAACCCTCTCAGATTCTTTCACCTGAGTTGTGGCTATCTGCAGGTCCTTCAGAATTACCTTTGACCTCCTGGTTGCTTCTCTGATTAATTTACCCATGATGGACTGAGCTGAGCTGAGCTATGTTCAAAGTTTGAACCATTGTTTTATAACCAAACTCTGCGTCAAGCTTCTCCACAGCTTCATCTTTGATGCTGTTTGTTCGCTGATGTCCTTTGACAAAGCTCTTAGGTAGCTTTTCAACGCCTTTGGCTGCAATTCATTTAGTGGTATCTGAGTGAAGGGGGCTGAAGACAAGATACATGCAACACTTTTCGGATTTTCTCATTTTATGCACAAACAATTTTTGGAAACTGTGTGTTGTCTTCCTTCCATGTCCCTCTTGTGCTATTCACACACACAAAAATGCCGATTTTAATGCTCTTAACTCTAAGAATTTATTTTTAATCATAAAATGAATCATTAAATCTAAAAAAACGATACTTGGCTCAAGGTGTTTTAGAAATGATACAAACACACTTCTGCGTGGCGTAACGGAAATGCATGATGTGTATTCATGTCCGAGTTTGCGATAAGCCAAACGAAGGGATGGAGATGTATGCACATCGAATAACTGCAGGGTTTCTGTTGCTGCTAATGTGTTCATGAGGTGAACTGGAAGGCAGCACGCTGGGACTGGATGTTTTGGCGTGTCTTCCAAGACTCTTAAAGCGTCTTGAATTTCTCACTCAGACAGTAGAACATGCAGAATCATGCAACTGAGATGGATCGTGAGGCTCATATTCATTCAGAGGGACGTTTATTTGAATGCAAGCATATGTGTGATCGCTCTGCCTGTGTTGGGAGACGCTGTTGTCATGCACTATGGGTCATGCAGCAATATAAGTTATGGGAGATTCAAATTCCATGCAAACAAGTAGCTGATGGAAGAGGGGGTAGTCGGAGCTTACAATGATCCCAGCCCAGTGTGGAGTCTCCCGGGCCATGAGTGAGGGGCTGATGGCCAGCATGAGGAAGGCCATGGCTGTGACAGCCACCCCTAGCAGCAGCTGCAGCAGGGCGACGAGCAGAGGGAAACGACACACTCTGCACTTATTGCCATTCTCTGGTGCTGGGCTGTCGTCTCTATTCTTCTGTCTCTGCTTCTTGTCTGAGGAACCTTTCCGGCCCTGTCCCATTTTTCCTCGTGCCTTCGCACTCCTTGCGTGTTTGTCTTCGAGACTTTTTTCAGTTCGTTCGTTTTCTTTGGGGTGGACGTGTCTCTGTGTTGCCTCCCTGTTCCCTCCCCCATCCCGTCCCCTCCCTGCCCTGGCTTTACCAAGCCCAGCTCAGCTGCTATTTGAAAACAGAGAAAAGCTCTGAACTAATATGGAAAACATTTGGACTGGATTCCTCACAGCAGCTCCGATGCCACATATAGAGCAAGCAACATGCCGAGGAGAGAAGGAAGAGGAGGAAAGGGGGAGGCAGCGAGACACAAAGGGAGCTCCCAACATACGACACAGAGGGGGTTTCTCAGGGTAACACAGGGAAAGTACAGAGGGAAATCAGTAGGTATGAGTTAATAAAAAGCCAGTGGGGGTGGGGTGGGGGGAGAGGAGGTCACACTTGGTTAGAGCAGGAGTGACTGTATCACTCTTTGTGTCAGCACTGTTACACAAGAGCCATATGCTGCCAGCCAGAAAACTGTCACATGACTAACAGGAAGAAGTAATGTGATCACCAGGCATGTGAGGGCATTACAAGGGCTCAGAAACGAGAATCTAAATGTGCAAAACAGCAGCAAGAGTCACTGGTGTGAGAGCTCCGCAGGTCAGAGTTTAAATTCCTGCCGTTTAGCTCAAAATGTTTGATTTTGACGGTGTGACAAACAAGCGACTGAGAGATTAATAGAGAAGCACAAAGCGAAGCACGTGTTTGTGCACACAGCTGGGCCGCTGCCATGGTTACTGACAACGCAGCTCAGGAGAGGACAACCCTGCAGCTGCATACAGTAACAAGCTGCACACACTCCACTCTCCATATAGAGCTCTCTGCGAATACACAGAGCAGGCATAACATTATGACCACCGACAGCTGAAGTGTGTAAAGTTTATAATTTTGTCATCATGACACCTGATAGCGGATGTGACATCTTAGGAACCAAGTAAATATTTGGTTTCAAAGTTTATGTGTAAAAAGCAAGACAAACAGGGCAAACGTAGGGATTTGATCCAGTTTGACAGGAGTGTGTTCTCTTGTAGGGTGTTCCCAGACTGAAATGATCAGTCTCTATGAAAAGTGATCCTAGTAAGGGGGAATTGTGAACTGGAGACAGGGTCATCGGCAACCATGGTGCAAATGGGAAGTAAAGTCTGGCCCGCGGGCTCCAATCCAACAGACGGGCTACTGTCTCGAGTCACACTGTGGAATAACTCAAAGCTTTGTTCTGAATGAAAGTCACAGCAAACAGTGCAACAAATAAATTATCCAATTATAAAAAAAAAAAAAAATTGGAATAGCACTGGGAAGTTCATTTATTTTAGTCATTGAATTTCAAAAGTGAATCAAACATATTATGTGCACACAGAGAGACAAATGTCAAGCTCTTACTTCTGATTTTTCCTATTATGACTTGCAGCAAATGAAAACTGAAAATTCAGTTTCTTGCAGAATTTAAATATTATAGATTTAAAATCGAATCAATCGTTCTGCCTGGAGGGACACAGATGTTGCTTGGCTGAACAAAACAGAAGCAAAGGATCATAACTTCATAGAAGGTTTTGACTCACCCTGAGTTAGTACCCGGGTTACCCGCTTGTCAAACTAATCCTTTAACACCTCACCACACCACTCTGATGCAGTCATTCATACAAAAGAGGTCTTAAATAAGTATTTTGTACAAATGCTAGATGTACTAGTAGGCTAGCATTTCTTCTAAGAAAAAGCATTGGGGTTAGGGTGATGTTGGTGGTAGGAGATGGTCCTGCAATTATTTGGTTACTGGTTCAAATCCCCTCTCTGACTGTCTCATTTCTTGTGGCATTTCTCTCAAGGCATTTCACCCACCATGCCTGCTGGTAGTGGAGCCTCACCTCTGTTAGATCGGGGCAGCTTTAGTTACAATCCGGTAGTTCACCACCATCAGTATGTGAATGTGTGAATGACTGAATGTGGTGTGAAACACTTTTTTGGTCCTCTGGACTTGATAGAGAGCTATTCAAGTTCAGGCCATTTCCCACTTTAATTGTATGGAGGCCTCAATCATCAAAATGTCATACTTGAAAACCATGTGTAATAAATCTCTCTGCAAAGAGTTATGATTTTAATTTTCTGCCTTGAATAACTGAAATGAGTTAACTTTTCAATAATATTCTAGTTTATTAAGAATCAGATATAAGAACATTTGGATATGCCAAAACGACACTGCATGAGTACAGACGATTCATTGTCCCCATTCTGGTCATAATGTTTTGTCTGTTCAACTTTGTTGAACTTTCTATACTTTATCTTTGTTGTCCTGAAGCCGCTTCGCTCATTTTCTCCTAATATAAGGAGCTTATTTCTGTGTGAACTATAATCTGTCTTTTTATGTTATTCTTGGAGTAATAACTTCTTCCATGCTGAGTGGCTTTAAAGTCTGTGCTGGTAAAAAAAAAAACAAAAAAAAAAACAGTTTCACTATGATGATACTATGTTAGCAGCATTTTTACCATGCTTTCTGCTTTTCTTCTGGGGTTATCTATGGGTGTGAATTCACACCCACAGAATTCACATGCCTATAAAGTCATCAGACACTAACATCTGTACTTTCCCATACTCTTTAAAGACAATGTGTTTGTAATAGTTTGACTTTTATGGATATCGTGAATTAGTATATACTTATCAATGTAATTATTTAACAATATTGATATTTTCTGGGTACTACTTGTTTAATTCGGGCTTTCAAAGCAAGTTCTCAAACTAAAACATCCAAATAATCAGTTCATAAATCAGCACAGTATAAACGCGAGCTGTAAAGTTGTAGCAGACGACAGTGCTGAGCGCGAAACAAGAAAGAAAGAAAGAAACACTTGATCCACATCCAAACGCTCCCGCTCTCACCTGCATTCATGCATTTTGCGCATGAATCACGTTTCAGGAGCCAGGTCGAAGCGGCGCGCACTGAATAGCTGCAGGAAGAGCGACACAATTATCTGTTGTTGCAGTCCTCACACACGCACACGCACGCAGGCACGCATACACACACACGCGCGCGTAGTAATTACTGGACTTTGCGCTGCTGCAGCCTACACGTGAGACGGAAGCTGTTCCCAGCCAGCGGCGCGCGTGCGCCCTGACAGCAGAGCGGAGAGGTTTTTTTTTTTTTTTTTTGCAAAGTGGCAGCTCCGGCTTCTCTCTCCAGACATCAGTCTGAAACGCAGCTCCACTGGAGGACACACTCTGCGCACCGTCTCCTTCAGCTATCCGGGTTTGAGCCGCCGAGCAACAAAACATCTCCTCCCCCCCTCCCTCCCTTCAAAACTAGAAAAGAGAAGCTCAGTGCTAGTTCAGAGGCTACGGAGAAGTGATGGATGAAAGAATACCGCACTTACAGGACAGGCAGTTCATGGAGCACGCAGATTTCCTGGGGTAAGAAAAGCTTTTGGAAAACTCAAAGTTGTTAAAAAAAAAAAAAAAAATCGGTGCAACCTGTTTAATTGCTGTACTTTTCTTTATACTTCAGGATGGATTTCCCTCCGCTTTACATGTGCAAATCTAAACGAGGCATAAAGCGAGAGGACAGTGGGAAGGTGCGCGCTGTTTCATTACACCAATCATGATTCTGAAGTTACATTAAAACCCTTAGTTAATAATTAAACTTATTATGACCTAAGGAAAACTGTTACATTTTAACTTCATCGCTATGTCTGTCAGCAGGATGCGTACAAGTTACCGCACCGGCTCATAGAGAAGAAGAGGAGAGACAGAATTAACGAATGTATTGGGCAGCTGAAGGATCTACTGCCCGAACATCTGAAGCTCTCGGTGAGATCCGGACACAGTATTGGAAAAAAAAAAGAAAAAAAAAAAGAAAAGAAAAGTTTTGACGCGCTCTGGAATTTGCGGACTCCACTAAAATTCTTTGTTTCTAACAGACGCTCGGTCATTTGGAGAAAGCGGTGGTGCTGGAGTTAACGCTGAAGCATCTGAACGCACTGACTGCTGTCACCGAGCAGCAGCACCAGAAGATCATCGCCTTGCAGAATGGTAAGAGACGCATGCCACTGGTTAGGTTGTAAACATTTAAAGATAAGCTAGATATTTTTGGAAAAACAATGTGCTTAATCATCCCCTGGGAGGAACTTCCCTAAGAAATTAGAAGAAAACTTGAGAAACTTCCTAAATGAAGTGACACTCTTTCAACTTGTTTCTTTCTTTCTTTTTTTTTAATTATTCCCCCCCCCCCCGCAGGAGACCGCTCATTGAAACCTCCCATCCACACTGATCTGGATGCGTTCCACTCAGGTTTCCAGACCTGCGCCAAAGAGGTCCTGCAGTACCTGAGCCAAGCGGAGAACTGGACCGCCAGAGAACAGAGATGCGCGCAGCTCATCAACCACCTCCACAAGGTCCTGGCGCAGTTTCAGCCGGACGCACCGCCGCTCCAGCATCAGCTGCCCGCCGGGGACGCGCAGGACGCACAGAAGTCCGACTGTCAAACCAACTGCGTCCCGGTCATCCAGAGGACCCAGGGCGGGGAGCTTAACGAGAACGACACAGACACGGACAGTGGATATGGCGGGGAGGCGGAAAAGAGTGACGGCAAAGACAAAGAGTGTGAGCGCAACAAAGCGGTGAAGATCAAGCAGGAGTTTGGAGATGACAGAGCGGCTAAAAAAACTAAAATGTGCTGGTCTGGGAACGCGGAGCCGACCAGACCAGATGTGGCGTTCATGAATTCTCTGATGGGATTAAGCGGTGTGGGACAGCAGACACCGATTTGCATGCCTTTCTACTTCATCAACCCGTCAGCCGCGGCGCCCTATATGCCTTTTTTCGACAAAAGCAACATTGAAAAGTACATGTACCCCGCAGCGGCAGCCCTAGCGTCCCCGTTTCCCTGGCTGTACCCTGCACACGCGTCAGCAGCGGCGGCCGCGGCAGCAGCGGCCGCGTTCCCCGGCCTGTCTGCGCACCTCGGAGCCGCCGCTCAGCCCAAAGACTCCCAGCTTCAAGATGACAGCGGATCACGCGAGGCAGAGGCGAGCTCACCTGAGGAGCACGAGGAAACTCCCGCGAGTGACGACGGAGAGGGTGACGTAGATGACACGTCCCCCGACAGCAAGAATAGCCCACAGGAGCAGCTTTCTGCCTGTCAGACGAGCTAATAAGTCTGTGTACCTCTGAGTTTCTGTATTTACATTTTTTTTTTAGTTATTATTTAGGCTAGTTTTAAAACGGGGAAGTTCTCATGTATACAATATCTTGGGGCAGCAGGGGACATTATTGTGGAAGCTCATCTCTGCCATTTGACAGTATGAAATGGAACACGGTATACCATAAATATGAGTTGAAACTTTATATTTATTAGATACAATATCATAAGTGGCTCTTGGTAGCTCTGTTGTCTTGCAGCAACCCGGGTTCAAATCCCAGTTTCGGCTGTTTTTGCACAGAGTTTGCATGTTCTCCCCATGGATGGGTTGGTTCTCTCTGGGTACTCCGGCTTCCCCCAGCAGCCCCAAAACATAATTGTGAAGTTAGTTGACTACTCTAACTTGCTCTTAGATATTGTGATGAACTGGAGACCATGCAAGGACAGGCTTTATAATTCCAAGATTCATTATCACACACACATATATATCTCCAAATTAAAGTCATTTATGAAAGAATAACATACATTTTTGACTTAATGTTAGAATTATGAAACTTAAAGTTCCGACTTTCAGTCACAAGTTTCACTTCCAAAGTCAAAATTATAAGAATAAAGTAAACATAACTTTGTGGGCTTTCAATATAATCTAATACAAAGTCATAATTGTAACCTGAAGTCATAATTTTAATTTGGGAGTCCTAATTTTGAGATTTCAAGTCTTAATTCTTTCATTTGAAGTTAGTATTTTGACTTTGTGTGTTATAAAGAATGAAATGCAAGTTTATTATTTCACTTTTAAATTAAACACATGAGACATAAAGTCATAATTTGGACTTTCAAAGTAAAAGTCATGACTTTTAACGTTAAAAATATGAAAGAAAGTCACAATCTGGTCTTTCAAAATTGAAATTGTGAGTTCAAGCTTTGACTTTGGAAGTCCTAATTACAAATTTTGAAATTCAAAGTTATGACAGTGTATAATTTTATTCTAAAATCTTGCCAAATAAAATATTTAAAGGCAGAATTTTAACTCTCTTAAGTAATAATTTTTGTCAAACAATTACAATAATGTCATCATTTAAATCTTGATTTTGACACATTCTGGGTTTAAGTCATTTTTTTTCCTCCCCAAAACATAGGCATGCAGTTTTACATCATACAAATGTATTCTAGAACCCATAAATATGACAATTGAGTTTTATAATTGTGACAGTAAAAATTGAAATTATGACTTTGATAGTAAAGTTATGACTTGCATAGTAAAAACCGTGCCTGAAACTCACAGTTATGACATACCATATCCTATTTTTTTTCTGAAAGTGGTGGGACTGGGCTTCCATACGGTTGTAATTTTGTGTGCCTTTTGCACTTCTGCTTGTTTCAAACAATCTGAATGACTATCGACAATGATTGACACTTCACGGCTGTGTTGTGATGCAGTTACTTTTTTCTTTCTTTTTTTTTAATCATCTTTGACAAAATATTTTGACAGGCAGTATTGGTGTCAAAAATGTAAGTCACCAACACGCTATGTCCCAACCAATGATACTCCTCATATGTGCATGGGTGCCTCTAGAAAGTTTTGAAATGGGATGGGAGAGTGGGGTGGGGGGCTCTAATAAACTTGTGTTCACACACTAAAACCAAAAGAGAGGCTTCATAACAGCACACAAATAAAGCTGTTTGGCTTGCAAATTTGTAGCCATTACCTTTGCCTCCCCAGGGCCCCCATGGTGGCACCCCTTGCAGATGTGGGAGCTGAAACTTACCTCGGCTTATAAATAAAAAAAGAAAAAAAAAATCAGGCGAACTCTGGTTGTAAATATTAGCCTGACATGTAAATGTGAGCTACAGGGATCTGGAGAAGATGCATAGTCCTCATTACCTCACTCCAATTTTGCATGGGGCTAGTTGAGGGGAAAATTAACTGGCTCATCTTGAAAATATCTGAGTGGGTCCCAACATGCACACCATGACATGTGCTACAGATCAGTTTTAATATTCAACCTTTGTTTTGGGAACAGGGCAGCAAGATGAGCCTGGTTTGCTGAACTTCATCTTAAATGTTTCTTTTGAATGCCAGTGCTGTTGGGGGACAAAAAAAGTTCACAAATCTGTCAGAATAATTGGAAGGCGAGACTCTCAAGGGTATTCTTGACCAGAATATTGTAGTAACCTCCTGTACCTCCAGGAAACATTGTAGGATAGCACCTTATAGATCTTTGATATTGAATGTACCTGTATTTTTCCCAATATTCCATGTAGGATGAGACGTTAAGTGCACTTTTTTCAGCTTTTAATCCCTTCAGTCACCTCATCATTCAGAAAGTCGATCACTGTAGTTCTTTGTTGTGTTTAGGTTTCTCTTTCAAAAAGACCCAGGTTAGTTTGTATTCATTTCATGCTGTAAAGTGCTGGCTGATTATTTTCCCCTAGTTTTTATTTCAAGCTACTTCATGGGAAAATGAAATTTGGAAAACCTGCTCTACGCTTCAGGCAATCATTACGTGAATCTGGGAGAAAAACTGTGGTCATTGCCATGTTAAGAACTTTTTCAGCTCCTCTTTTCTATTTTTACCAATTCCTGCAAGTGTAATATTGTTCTGTTTTTTAAAAAATAAATAAATAAATAAAGGTTTCACACGTGACTGAAGAGGCACAAACCTCATTGTGCTTCAGAAACATTTCAATGCTTTTGTAGGTTTTGCTTAGTTGGTTTTGCCTCAAAGCTCTTATCAACCTTACAAGTGGCATGTGTATTTGTTGTACATAGTTTTTTGCAATATACCATTAAGTATACATGTTTTGTCAATGTTGTAGAAGTCTAGATTTCTTCTTCTTTTTTTTAAAGATTTCCCTGAGCAACTGTTGCACTTTTCGTTGGCGCTTTACACGTATGCTGTTCTAAATTATTGCTGATGAGTTGTAAAATAAATATCAAAAATGAAACTTTATCAGAGTCATCTTTTTCTTGTTCATGGTCTTACAGGTAAAACGAGGTTGTACCAATGAACACTGAGCAGTTTTATGTTCTGTGTCGCTAATCTGTCCAAAACCAAGGACAATACTGAAAGTTCAGCAGACAAAGTGGGTTTGAACAATCATCTCCCCAATGTACAGTAAACCAAAGCTTTAAACAAAAATCATGTGATGAAAGGCTGATGAAAAAAAAAAAATTACAGTCAGTCTGTGCAGTCTGGTGGAAAAACAAGAAGCCTCCTCCCAGCTTTTCAGAATCTTCAAGCAAGGTCAAGACCGTTCTTTTGCTCTCTCCAGTAATGAGCTCACAGTTATTCTTTTCAAAACATTTTAAGCGCTTACCTGAACCCATTTCTCATCTTCTTTTTTTCCCCCCAAATAAGTCAGATACAATTCATATAGTACATTTTAAATTTTCAATCTTATTGCCTTAAGGCCTTTTTTTTTTTGAGTAAATCCTTCAAGATTGCCTAAAGTTTACTTTCATTCTCCAACCCACAGTTCTCACTAAAATCCCACAAACATCAAGTTGGTGGATTTTAATTTTGTTTGGCCTTTGGTGATGTTTCCCTACATATTTCTTTGAAGTTATAAAAACTACATAAAATATATGATTTTCTTCAAGAAGTATCAAAACGCAGTTACAACAAAAATACATTAACTTTGTGCACATTAATTGCAAACTTCAATGTATTTGTGCAGGATTTATATATGATAGACTAATACAAAGTAGTGGAGGAAATGGCAATAAAAGCACAGGAATGGGTTTAGCAATTTCTTTACAAATAAAAATCTGGAAAGTGTGATGAGTGTATTTTGTGGAGCCCTGCTGAGTAAAATTAAAATTTTTTGTCAGATATGGGTCCACAGGTCATGCAGCGATCTAATCTAATTAGAGCATTTTTCCACATGTTTACTGTTGATAGTTTAACCATTGAAATGACGTAACTAAGGAAATGGTCATTCATATACTTGGCTTAGAACCAGTTCAGGTGAGATTTTTGTTTAATGACATCCTTGGACTTGGTTCAGATGAATGACAGGAAAAAACAGAAAGGACTCATCAGTTGTTACTCAAGCAAATCAAGCTGCTATTTACAACAAAACACTAAAGTATGGTGCTGCTACCAATAGATACGATTTCTGATTATTTCCATTGTTATGTATTATACTTTTGAGCTTTTTATTTACTTGCATTATTTTTAGACAAATATGGTTCTTATAATTATCAAAACTTTAGACATTTATTCTGGATAGCCTCCTTTTGGTTTAATAACTGCAAACTATCATTCCTGTGGAAATGTCTCCCTCTGCTGGTGTAAAGCTTGAACTCTTGCTCTGGTCGATCAGTGAAGTAGAGAAAAGAAAGTAGATCACCTCTCATTTCTCAGGCCTCTGGTGTCTACCAGTTTCTAAAATAATTTAAACAGACAATAGATCCCATACTGTTGTTCTTCTTTTTCTAAAATATTTAAATGAAAATGGGAAAGTTATGCATGAAGATTGAAGTTCATTGTTCAAAAGTTCAAAGAACCACTTTGTACAGCAAAACATTGAAGTACCTCAGTAGTACCTCACCCACTTCAGGTTTCTGACCAATCACGCAATAGTTATTGATCTAGAGCTAATTGTTTTGTTCTTGTAGAGGATTTATGGCATTTCAGTCAGTTTGAGGTCTCGACTTTAACTTGTCGAGGTAAACCAGTGAAAATCATCATCCTGCCACCACCAAACTTGACAGTCAGTACGAGGTATTTGTGCTGATATGTTGCTTAGTTCCAGTCAAGGTGGTTCTGTGCATTTGAGTGAAAACCTCTCCACTGTGGTCTGAACAACTTAAAGGACATTATTTGAAAAGTATAGAGGCTCTTTCAGGTCTCACTCCAATGTTCCTTTTAAGAAATAATGAATTTTCTTCCTCAACTGCTTCAAGCAAGTAGTCCCTTTTCAGTGTCTTTCTCAATGGTTTTACAATTTAGTATACTATACAAGGCTTATAGAGCTTGAGATAAGATTTTAGTACATTTCTATGAGCATTGTATTGTCTATCACCATATCAGCTGATATGATAAATGGATTTCATTTGAGAATATTTTCCCCTTCTGTACAATGCTATACAATTGTTTGGAAAAGTCCCCATAACCTTTCCTAGATCCACTTGGTTAGAAGTCTGGGTGGTTTAATATCTGTCACCATAGTGCTACTTTCCTTCTTAAATAATAATAAAAAAACAGTATGTACTTCATATTACCAACACAGCTTTTCCCCTATTGGAATTCTAGTTTAATTAATTAATAACTGTGTGGCGTCTTTGGTCAGACCACCGTTTATTATGTCCTCAGTCATAGATAGTTCCAGCAAGCACCAGTCAGTCACACAACGTGATTTTATTCAGATGGTTTATTGAACCATGCAATCCATGTCATATCTGCATTCTGTTACAGCCATACACAACTGGCCACAATCTGCAGTAGATTAAGGCAAGAAAAACGAAACAAAAGTTATTTAAAGTTGACATCTTATTAGAGCTCAAGAAGATATGAAGTTGTAAACAGTGACCACAACAATGTGAAAGTTCTGATCCAAATTACAGTACACGTGTTCCAAGTAAAAAAAACAAAAACAAAAACAAACAAAGGAAAAACGATTAGAAACTTAACTGTTGCATGTAGTATTACGGTAACAATACAGTGACAAAGTACAGATCCTTCTTATTTAATTTGACATTCCTACAAAACACTGAAAGAAAGGTTGTAGTTTCTTCTGCTCATGTTGCATACCAGCACTGAATTCTACAGTTGTCTTGATCTCAACTAATGATTTTTCCCCCCCAACAACGCCCTCCGTAACACCTCCTCTATGCTGTATCTGGAAAACACCATTAACAATATGAGGATAAGGCACTTTGATGTGTTTAGCAGCTTATCTACAACCTAAGTGAAACTTCATAACTTGGCTTTTCTGCACTCACACACCGTCAAATTTCTTGAATCGCTGTCACATATGCAGACAAACATTCACTTTTCGTGATTTAACAAGTGCTTCAAACCTTCAAAGTCCCACACCACGTGTGAGCGCATGCAGACAAATGCACACAAGCCATTTTAATTACATACTCACACTCTTACTTCATGTCGTAGCTGCAACTGTCCACTTTATGACTACCACTGCCAGGTCGACCGATTGGCTTTGAGAACTCTCTGCACATTCAAAGATGGCTGCCAGCACAATCATGCAACAAGCTCAATCTTTGGCCACACACAATCCATAAGATAAACAAGCATAAAATACATTCAGAAAATATATATATATATGTATATATATATACTTTGTTGTTGTTGAACAACAACAAAAAAATACAGCTAAAAAGGAGAATTAACACTGGTTTAATATGCAGCCTTTACTGCAGGAATGCACAACTTCAGAATAAAATGCACTCACTGAATAAAGCTAAAGAGTACAAACATCTACAGTAAGCCTTCATTTTGGTAAGTACACACAAAAACATTCAGTAACAAAAATATGAACCATTTGTGCATAGTTTTAACTTGAACCAACGGAGCACAGGGAGGGATTGTTCACAGTTCTACTACAAACAAGTGGATCCTTTCACTTCAACGAGAACCAGACATTTTGCTGGAGAGAGAAACATACACGTACAAAGATTCTCATGGCCGCTTTCTAAAAGGCAAAAAGATGAATATAAATCATTCAGCAGGTAGTAAAGTGAAAGTACAATAAGTGGATATGCTGATGGAGGAGGTCCACAACAGCCAGACGTTTCAGAGCGAAATGGAAAACATGGATGCACCAGTCGGTAGGGTGCAGTGTTTTTCTTAATTTTTTTTTTTCCTGACCATACCTGCCAACTGGCGTTTTCTTCCATTAAGTGCTCAATTATTTCCATTCAGAGATTGTATGTTTACCATATCTTTACACCTCTCACTATCGGATACCTTCATAGGTTTAAAAACAAAGAATGCATAGTCTTGAGCTGCAGAGATGTCCTGCTTGGGGTCAGACCAGGGGGTCAGACGTAGATGCCCTCTGGGTTCAGGCCAGAGCTAAGAGGGTTGGCGAGGACGCGGAGATGGCTGGACACGGGCTGGGTGGACACAGGACGCTTCAGCGAGCCAGTCAGCGCCGCCAAATCTGACCAGGAAACAAGCAACAGAGAAAATAAGACTGCACTTCAGCTTTTAACTGAGCAGGACATTTTTTTATTCAGCAGTGAGATGGTGCACGTCAAAATTTAGCAAACGTTTCACGCTACGACACAGGGAAATGCATTAGAGAACTCTTAAAAGCGACACATATTCCACTTGACAATCACAAGGTTGACAATTTGACTAGTTTGTTTTTTGACCGCCTAACATTTCTAAATAGTTTCCTTTAAAATACATAATATCAATGCCGTATAAATTTGTCAGAAAATTTGAAAGAAGAAAATAAAAAATAAAAACACACAATGTTATGCACTCCTTTGGAGCCACCAGGGGGCAAGGCTGAGCTTTGCAAAAAGAGTGGAGTCAATTTTATGGCACAAAGAAAATTCATCATGCTCACTCTTCTGTGCAAGGTTATTAGAGGATAATCAAGCACAAATTAATTTACATGATGGAAACCATAACAGTGGGCGTGTCGTGTAGAATCCCACAGCAACAGTTTTATAAAAGTGGCAGAAAAAAAAAATCCTGGTCCAGATTATTTTAACAGTTTTGATTTAAAGGCATCCAAAAAAGTAATGGAAACTTGTAAATCTATAAACCTATCAGACACTTGCTTACTTTCTCTGTGCACTCTTGCCCATTTGAAAAAAACAGTGCATCATATTCAATATAATGAATTCACCTCTATAAATGTTCACAATAAAAGTGCTATCTTCGTAATTGCCTTTAACATGCCTGAGTATAAGTTAAGCGCATGTAAGGAACACAGTAATGATCCAAGGTGCGTTTAGAAATAAAAAGCTCAACTCGGTGTGTTTGTATGTACCGAGGAACTTATTGCTCACAAAAGCCAGTCTAGGATTTAACGAGGCATCAAGCAGGCATCCACCACAGCACCACTCACTTTCCTTTTATGTTGGCCAACCCCGATCATATGTGGACTGTTTACTGTTAACTGGTAAGTAGACAATTAATATATAGTTTTTCTCAATTTAAAGATTTAATTAGTGGCCTTTGTTGACTGCTACAATACAGGAAGTGGTCAGAGGAAAAGGGGTGAGGAGAAGACATGCAGCAAAGGTCTCAAGGTAGGCGATCAATCCCAGGACGCTCACATCAAGGACTAAAGCCTCTACTTCTTTAAATTTAAGTTCAGCTGTGATTTTATTCAGCCTTTCTGATCTATAAAAATGAGCTTAAAACAGAATGAGAATAATATGACTAGTTCAATTCACAGCCTCTTCTTCTCAGCTCAGATGGAAGCAGCAGAAACTGTTGAGTTAGCTCAGAAGGTTTTATGCAGTATGAGTATAATTAGTGCATTAGCCAAGCTGGCCTGTGAGGAACATGAAACATTAGGTCTAACAAACCAGCAGGGGGCCCTAAAAAAAAACAAACAAAAAAAAAACTCAAAGTTTGTTTCTCTACCAGGGTCGATCCTTCTCCTTGCACAAACTTTTTAAAAGCACATTTTAGCTTTTCTGCCAAGAAAGTATGATTTTCTTCAGCTTAGACGTTAAAAAAAAAAAATCACAAATTACCGAGTCATGGTATGGTTTTTAAGAACCAGCCTTCGCTTCCCTCTCATGGTGCATCGCTCTCATGAGGATCATCTGCTCTCTGCAGAGCCGCTGCAGCCTTCCAAGAACCACCACTTACACGGCAACAAAGAGCCGTACTGCATGTACTTTTCTTTACAGCTATTTTCTCCTTCCACATACTGACGCACGGAGATGCAAGACGGAACCGAGTCATTTTCTCTCAGCAGGTTGTCAAGAACTGCGGCCACAGAACAAAGTGCACCTTGATGGAGGAAACGATTTTCCAACGCTCCCGCTGAACCTTGTCGTCATTTTCACATGCGACACACATGATGTCTTTTTAAATCAAAGAGCACCGTTATTCTAAAACAAACTGCGGCAGGTCAGATCACACGGCATCTCACTGAGCGCTTCATAATTTCCTGAAAGAGGTTTTAACTAACACTTGAAGACACGTTTCATTACCTGAGCCAGAGCTGCTGTTTGCACAGTCCTCCTCCGTCGGTTCAGCGGGCAGCACTGTGACCTTGGTTCCAGTCTGCTGGATGAACTGCTGCAGGTTCACCTGCCGCAGCTCCTTGGTCAGCTGCTCCAGCTCCTGCTGCATGTCCTGAAACAGCAGCAAGGAAAATGACAACTCGCACTGCAGAGAACCGAAGACAATTTGAATCTGAGACTTCAACCCATAACTGCAAGCTCAATATCCGTGCCACTGATTCCGAATGATTTTTCGCAGAATGTTTATAGCGCGTTTATTGTTCGATAGTGGTATTTAATTACCAGAAGCACATTTCATTAGCTCGAGTGCCAGAGATTTCAATTCTCTTTAAACCGATTGCATCAAGTTGTTGTTGTTTTTGTTTTTTCAGCAATCCCTCCTTCGAAGCAAGCGAGTTTCAGCAGTGGAGAAGAACCCGGCTCAGTGTGAGCCATCAGGGTTTAGAGTGGTCAGAGCAGAGAAACAAAACACAGCAGCAGTGGGCCAGAGGTATTTTCTAGCTTGAAGAAAATTTTTGGAATGTCAACTTAGCAACTTGGGTAAGTAATAAAAACAAAATGAAAACTTTG